TGTGTGTTGCCTTCTGCTGTGTGAATGTGGCCCACCGTATGAGAGGATCTGTGAAAGTGAGGCGTGGGTAATGCTGCCTGCCTCGGTATCTTAGGATAACAGGTGTCCATCGGGTAACGTTAAATGAGCAACACTTACGGCATCTTCCGAGGCGAAGAAACAGAAGTCCCAAATTAACTTTGATGTCATATCTCTGATGCAATTACAGTAACTAAAAGCTACATTCTTTATATCTCTACACACACCATACTTTTGTGATCACCTGGTTCGAATTTTTATTTATCTCTCAGAAGTAAACTGATTGGTCTTGGTGAGGTTGACATCACGACTGAGAGCGTTTCGGCAACAGTCGATTTTTTAACATACCTCCTTTTGAGAGCTGTTGTTGTTGTTCATTTACGTCGCACTAGAGCTGCACAATGGGCTATTGGCGACGGTCTGGGAAACATCCCTGAGGGTGATTCGAAGGCATGTCATCGCAATTTTGATCCTCTGCAGAGGGGATGGCACCCCCGCTTCGGTAGCCCGACGACCTGCATGCGAAGTCGAGCACTTAACGGTAGAACAGTTTAACGAGGACCCATACCGCACACCCTCGGTCTCTACGCAGGTTGATCCAAGTGGTCACCCACCCACACACTGACCGTAGCCAGTGATGCTTGACTTCGGTGATCTGCTGGGAACCGTGTCTTAAAGATCAGTCCACTGCGGGACCCTTTTGAGAGCACAGTTGCTTTCAGCGACACTTTTCTGAATACTGTACGCTCATATATTTTTTTGGCATTTAACATTTACTGCTAAATATAAAATGTTATACACAAATTTCTTTCATTTTCACCATAATTGTTATTAATGAGATAATTTTGCTTTAACTTTTAGTCCTTAGAGAAAACTGCTTCTATGATTTGTAATATTCTACTATTTTCATTTTCAAACTATTGAAAACTAAAACTATCTGCATTTAAATTAAAATTATGACATGACGTTTGAATAAGAAAAATCCGGAAAAAAATATCTGTTAAGCATTCTAACATTTGTTATGTTTTAGAAATTGATCTTTTAAATGTACATGTTCGGTTCGAAGTTTGGAGTAGTCAAGGATTGTTACCCAACATAGTTATCCGAAAACTACAGGATTTAGGGTAACTTATTATATCGATTTACAATGTGCATCGTTAAAATATTTGGTGTATGACTTAAATATGAAAAATGTATCTATGTTTTAGGAAAGTAGGTAAGAGTTAAGCTATTTTTCTAAATTTTTTCGCGTTTTTGAAGGATTTTGCAATCAAAATTTCGAACTGTTTCGCTACTAGTTCAAGCGATCACGTTTCTACTGGTGCTGTAAGCCGAATTTACAGTACAAGAATACTTCACTATCCTTTTATCACCATTTAGAATTTATTTCTAATCACAATTTTGACCATTTTTTGACTACCGCCATGTGGGGCTACTTTGTGCTGGATTTCGCAGTTTTTGAACTTTGACATTAAAAAAAACTATGTTAATTCAAACTTTAGTAAAATTTTTCAATATTATTTTCATAACTGGACTCAGACGAGCGAATTTGATCAATATTGGCATTATTTGTATTTAACATTTACAAATAATAAGTCAAAACATACCTTGCACAAAGTAGCCCCAAGCTTTGTACAGCGATAGGAATTAATTTTAATAATCATGTTTTTAGTAAAATATTGATATAAAATTGTTAAAAAAGTTAATTGTTGACATTTTTAATAACAAAAACATCAAGATATGTAAAGATATTAGTTTGATAATAATTTTCAGTGTTAAAATACCATTTTTTATAATGAATTGTTTCTTAAAAAGAATGTTTATTTCAAAACATTTGAGTTTAAACAAAAGGAAAACATATACATTTTTGAACATTGAAACGGATGAAATTTAAAAAATAATAATTATTGCATATTCATTAACATTTATAATATTGATAAATTTGAACATAACATGCTTGAATGAACATGACAGAACTTGCTCTTCAGTTTCTCTCAAAATCACCTAATGTCCCATAAAATATATTTTTATGTGCTTCGTCTGATTAATTCATTAGAAAAATCTTTGTAGAAGAAAAATAATAGTTTACCATCACTTTTCACGTGATTCTTGTGAATTTTATTAGATATAGTATTTCTGTGGATTTTGTACTTCCGAGAAGCTTCTGCAATCGACATACCACCAGCAATTGCTTGCAAACATTGTTGCAGCTTTTCTAAAGTGTAATCACGATAATTTCTCACTCCAGGTATTTTTTTTATAACGTCTGACAATTTTTCTGTCGAAAAAAAAAAACGAATGAAACTTCGCACAAAGTAGCCCCACAGTGCATTTTTTTTCATTTTCCGTTTATTTGTTATTAAATTTCAAATTTGTTTAACCCTAACATGATATAATTGCTGATCAATATATAAATAAGAAATTTTGCACTTACGACAATTATTTTATCAACGTCTTTGCATTTCACGGCTGAAGTTTTCACGCACACTTTTCGACGTCCGACGTACTCGGAAAGTTGTTGACATTGGATAAACAAAACACACTCTCAGATTGTTTTAAAATTCGAAAAAATGTTTGTAGTAATAGAGGAGACTTCTATCTTCAAATTCCACACATTTTTAACGTGAAAAAAACATAATACTGAGTAGCAGCACTTGAAAAGTGCCAAAATCGAATTTGCACAAAGTAGCCCCGGTTCCACAAAGTAGCCCCACAAGACGGTAATCAGTTTTTAAGTATCCACTAGATCTTTGCCCTTGATGCTAATAAATATTTCAAGAATTTCAGATCTCTAATAATATAATTTATTGTTTAATTTACGCGTTGAAGAATGTCTTGACAGTTAGAATTTTAACGAGTAACTGACAAGTTAAAAACCTCAAAACTTAAATGGAGCTCTATGCTGAATGACAATACAAGTTTTAAAGGTTTTCTGAGCCCCTTAAGCTGAATTTCTATAACCATTTAATCGTTACATTGAATTTGTTATGAATTTGTGAATCGAAATGTCTTTCTTTCTTCGAGTTAAGTGTTGAAATTTTAACAGAAGTTCACGCTTAATAATAAAAGTTGCTAATGTTTTTTAATTGCTTCAAGCACAGCTGGATGTCAATATATTTTCTATATGTAAATAAACACCTAATAGCCATAAAATTAAAAAAAATAATAGTCTCAAATAGTACGTTTTTCAATATTTAATACAGTGTAAAGTACTAATAATTAAGAAAAGTTTTAATTAGTAATATTGTGAATATCTCATAAAAGTCAAAATAGCATTATTTTTGCTAGATTTAAAACGGAAAACGATGGTGTATCCCTCTCATAACAAGCTTCCATCTCTACAAAAATTTAAGGTGTTTTGAGGTTTATTTTAGGTTGTTTTGAGGTGTCATAGATTGATTTAACGTTAATTTGAAGTTGACTTGAAAAGCAACCTTAAAAGATCAACTTTTCAAGGTGTATGGAGTTGTTTTATTCACACTTGAGGTTGCTGAAAATCTACTTTAGAGCAATTAGTTTAGAGAGTTTTTTTCTGGTGTACAGGCTATTTTTCTATACTTCAGGCGAATAAGTATATTTGGGGTGTAAATGATTTCCCTCTATCTCAACCAAAAGTTTTGTATATATGAATATGATTTTATGAGATGTAAATGAGGTGAAAATTGAGGTTTATTAATGAGGTTATTTTTGGTTTTCAAAACATAACCTCGTTTCCTACCTCAGGTGCTTATTTCTGCGCTTGTCAACTTCAAAAAGACATTACTTTTTTCTGTCAGGGCTGTCTCTTCCAAAAATACCCCTATATGGTTTGAAAGTGCCTAACATTTCGCAGTATAGATCTAACAAAAAATTCTTATCCCAAAAAATAATCTTAAGATTTTCCTTTTAATGTTTACTATGATCCATTATTGTGAAAACTTGCAAATAAAATAAAATAGTTTATATTTGTGATTAATTTGCAGCACTTAATTTTGAAAAAAGTTATGAAGTAGTCAAAAGTTGCAGGGAGCAGTGTCGAGTCGGGTGCAAGTGAGTTATATTTTCATTACATTTGTAAGTTTTAAACATAAAATTGTATAAGATGCATAACTATTCAGTTAAATTTCCTCACTCACACTTATGAAAATCTTTTTTTTTCTAGGGACAAAAGATATGTAGTTGAATATAAGGAAGCTGGTAGGTATGAACGGGCTAATTATGAGGATCGAGATACAGAAAAGGTACTTTCCATTTATGCTAATATATTCAGGGTAATTGAAAATGCTTGTTTTTAAATATCTGAAAGATATAAAAAACTTAAAAATGTATAGAATACATATAATTCAAAGTTATAATCTAAGAGTTTATTAGTGGTTCGAACAATTCAGGCCCTTTCAACACTTATATGAGGTCACCCCTCTCATTAAATTACTATATGAGGTCAATACAAGTAGTATAGTCGGAATCTGAAAGCGAAGTTTGTTTTTAAATGGAAATACGCAATTTTCAAACACAATATTTAATATTACAACACAAATGGCAATTGGTTATTGGAATATACTATTATAGAAGAAATGTAATCAAATTCAAGTAAAATCAAGATCTAAATATACAATAAATACTCGTATATATTTAGTGGATACCCTCACACTTGGGTCTTTTTGACAACGAACGTGCTGATCAGTTGGTCAAAAGAAGGTACTTCCCTCCCAGTCTCTCCAACCACGGCCCTCACTTACTCTGAATTATTTTCTATCCACAACTCTAAAGTTAATAAGGCTTGGCTTGTTCCACCGGATCACAATTGGTATCATCGCAAGCGTCCGGGAGGAGCCCTTGACCTTCAGGGTACACGTGCCGACCAAACCGCTAACTGTAGATTTGTCAGTGGACATACTAAGAGCCTCACTTTCAGTGGACAAAATAAACTTTTTCCATCTTGTAAAAAGTGTAAATCCAGCGAGGCTAGTCCTCACCATCTACTTGATTGCCTGGATTTCACCATGGAAGAGGTTCTGGAAAGACCTCTCCTTTTCCTCGATTTTTTGAAGAATCACGGCCTCATGGATCTGGTATAGCTCTAATATCCCAGCTGGGATTGGAAACAACAACAACTCGTATATTTGAGGTAATCTAAGACTTAGGTGAGCTTGACATGCAATACTAGACACTCTTTTAACACTATTGAGATAATTATTATTATTATTGTTATTTGTTTTTGCAATAGTGTGTTATTGTGAAGGGTACAAAAAATGTGATCATATCGAAATTATTTACACATGATCACAAAGTTTAGTGAATTTCAGCTAGTTAAAAAAACTCACGTCTTTTTTTAAACTTTTCTATGCCTCGTCTCTACGTTAAACACCACTGGTGAAATAAAAGAAGGTTTTAATTAAAAAATTTTTTAAAAAAAGTTGAGATTCCTCAGAGGAAGATTTCATTTTAGTTTTATTTAACTAAACAAGTCTTTTAACTGTCGAATTTCAGAGACATCAATGACTGAATGTACTAAGTGACAGTTGTTGAGTGTTTTCAGAAGTGAACTGTCATTAAATGTGAAGGTAATTGATATTTTCGATTGGAATGCATTAAGTGAATAGTAATTGAGTCTTCCTAGTTGTTGTTGTTGATGTATGTTGTTTAGGCAGAGGGGGTGCGATTGTTCTTGTTTTCCAGTGGCACCATCTACGGACAAGAATTCGACTTCTGTCACACCGTACATCACACCCGTTTATAGGGCGGACACATTCATACATCCATTCATTCATTCACAGATCGTAATTATGACCTGAATCAGAGAACGATCGATCTCCAATCCAATACCCCCAGAGGTATTGATGTGTTATGGAGACATGNTCACGTGTTTCTTGTGAATTTTATTAGAGATAGTATTTCTGTGGATTTTGTACTTCCGAGAAGCTTCTGCAATCGACATACCACCAGCAACTGCTTGCAAACATTGTTGCAGCTTTTCTAAAGTGTAATCACGATAATTTCTCGTTTCAGGTATTTTTTTTATAACGTCTGACAATTTTTCTGTCGAAAAAAAAACGAATGAAACTTTGCACAAAGTAGCCCCACAGTGCATTTTTTTTCATTTTCCATTTATTTGTTATTAATTTTCAAATGTTTCTAACCCTAACATGATATAATTGCTTATTAATATATAAATAAAAAATTTTGCACTTGCGACAATTGTTTTATCAACGTCTTTGCATTTCACGGCTAAAGTTTTCACGCACACTTTTCGACGTCCGACGTACTCGGAAAGTTGTTGACATTTTATAAACAAAACACACTCTGAGATAGTTTTAAAATTCGAAAAAATGTTTGTAGTAATAGAGGAGACTTCTATCTTCAAATTCCACACATTTTTAACGTGAAAAAAAACATAATACTGAATAGCAGCACTTGAAAAGTGCCAAATTCGAATTTGCACAAAGTAGCCCCCGTTGCACAAAGTAGCCCCACAAGACGGTAATAAGTTTTTAAGTATCCACTAGATCTTTGCCCTTGATGCTAATAAAAATTTCAAGAATTTCAAATCTCTAATAATATAATTTATTGTTTAATTTACGCGTTGAAGAATGTCTTGACAGTTAGAATTTCAACGAGTAACTGACAAGTTAAAAATCTCAAAACTTAAATGGAGCTCTAATATGCTGAATGACAATACAAGTTTTAAAGGTTTTGAGCCCCTTAAGCTGAATTTCTATAACCATTTAATCGTTACATGGAATTTGTTATGAATTTGTGAATCGAAATGTCTTTCTTTCTTCGATTTGGTTAAGTGTTGAAATTTTAACAGAAGTTCACGCTTAATAATAAAAGTTACTAATGTTTTTTAATTGGTCCAAGCACAGTTGGATGTCAATATATTTTCTATATGTAAATAAACACCTAATAGCCATAAAATTAAAAAAAAAATAATAGTCTCAAATAGTATGTTTTTCAATATTTAATACAGTGTAAAGTACTAATAATTAAAAAAAGTTTTAATTAGTAATATTGTGAATATCTCATAAAAGTCAAAATAGCATTATTTTTGCTAGATTTAAAACGGAAAACGATGGTATATCCCTCTCATAACAAACTTCCATCTCTACAAAAATTTAAGGTGTTTTTGAGGTTTATTTTAGGTTGTTTTGAGGTGTCATAGATTGATTTAACGTTAATTTGAAGTTGACTTGAAAAGCAACCTTAAAAGATCAACTTTTCAAGGTGTATGGAGTTGTTTTATTCACACTTGAGGTTGCTGAAAATCTACTTTAGAGCAATTAGTTTAGAGAGTTTTTTTCTGGTGTACAGGCTATTTTTCTATACTTCAGGCGAATAAGTATATTTGGGGTGTAAATGATTTCCCTCTATCTCAACCAAAAGTTTTGTATATATGAATATGATTTTATGAGATGTAAATGAAGTGAAAATTGAGGTTTATTAATGAGGTTATTTTTGGTTTTCAAAACATAACCTCATTTCCTACCTCAGGTGCTTATTTCTGCACTTGTCAACTTCAAAAAGACATTACTTTTTTCTGTAAGGGCTGTCTCTACCAAAAGTACCCCTATATAGTTTGAAAGTGTCTAACATTTTGCAGTATAGATCTAACAAGAAATTCTTATCCCAAAAAATAATCTTAGGATTTTCCTTTTAATATTTACTATGTTCCATTATTGCGAAAATTTGCAAATAAAATAAAATAGTTTATATTTGTGATTAATTTGCAGCACTTAATTTTGAAAAAAGTTATGAAGTAGTCAAAAGTTGCAGGGAGCAGTGTCGAGTCGGGTGCAAGTGAGTTATATTTTCATTGCATTTGTAAGTTTTAGACATAAAATTGTATAAGATGCATAACTATTCAGTTAAATTTCCTCACTCACACGCATGAAAATCTCTTTTTTTCTAGGGATAAAAGATATGTAGTTGAATATAAGGAAGCTGGTAGGTATGAACGGGCTAATTATGAGGATCGAGATACAGAAAAGGTACTTTCCATTAATGCTAATATATTTTCAGGGTAATTGAAAATGCTTGTTTTTAAATATCTGAAAGATATAAAAAACTTAAAAATGTATAGAATACATATTAAAAATGCATAGAACAATTCAGGCCCTTTCAACACTTATATGAGGTCACCCCTCTCCTTAAATTACTATATGAGGTCAATACAAGTAGTATAGTCGGAATCTGAAAGCGAAGTTTGTTTTTAAATGGAAATACGCAATTTTCAAACACAATATTTAATATTACAACACAAATGGTAATTAGTTATTGGAATATACTATTATTGATAGAAGAAATGTAATCAAATTCAAGTAAAATCAAGATCTAAATATACACTAAATACTCGTATATATTCAGTGGATACCCTCACACTTGGGTCTTTTTGAGAACGAACGTGCTGATCAGTTGGTAAAAAGAAGGTACTTCCCTCCCAGTCTCTCCAAAAACGGCCCTCACTTACTCTGAATTATTTTCTATCCACAACTCTAAAGTTAATAAAGCTTGGCTTGTTCCACCGGATCACAATTGGTATCACCGCAAGCGTCCTGGAGGAGCCCTTGACCTTCAGGGTACACGTGCCGACCAAACCGCTAACTGTAGATTTGTCAGTGGGTATACTAAGAACCTCACTTTCAGTGGACAAAATAAACTTTTTCCATCTTGTAAAAAGTGTAAATCCAGCGAGGCTAGTCCTCACCATCTACTTGATTGCCTGGATTTCACCATGGAAGACCTCTCCCTTTCCTCGATTTTTTGAAGACTCACGGCCTCATGGATCTGGATAGCTCCACTATCCCAGCTGGGATTGGAAACAACAACTCGTATATTTGAGGTAATCTAAGACTTAGGTGAGCTTGACATGCAATACTAGACTCTTTTTTTTAACACTATTGAGATAATTATTATTATTATTTTTTGCAATAGTGTGTTCTTGTGAAGGGTACAAAAAATGTGATCATATCGAAATTATTTACACATGATCACAAAGTTTAGTGAATTTCAGCTAGTTAAAAAAACTCACGTCTTTTTTTAAACTTTTCTATGCCTCGTCTCTTCGTTAAACACCACTGGTGAAATAAAAGAAGGTTTTAATGAAAAAAATTTCTAAAAAAAGTTGAGATTCCTCAGAGGAAGATTTCATTTTAGTTTTATTTATCTATACAAGTCTTTTAACTGTTGAATTTCAGAGACATCAGTGAGTGAAAGTACTAAGTGACAGAAGTGAACTGGCATTAAATGTGAAGGCAATTGATATTTTCGATTGGAATGTATTAAGTGAACAGTAATTGAGTCTTCCTAGTTGTTGTTGTTGATGTATGTTCTTTTGGCAGAGGGGGTGCGATTGTTCTTGTTTTCCAGTGGCGCCATCTATGACCAAGAATTCGACTTCTGCCACACCGTACGTCACACCCGTTTATAGGGCGGACACATTCATACATTGATTCATTCATTCACAGATCGTAATTTTGACCTGAATCAGAGAACGATCGATCTCCTATCCAGTACCCCCAGAGGTGTTGATTTGTTATGGAAACATGGAGAACTTTTGCGACTCGACAGATTTAACGTGCATCAGTCACTTTACTACACGGGGAGTCTTCGGTCGGAGGGGTCTTCCTAGTATATTTATGAATAAACATACCTCAGCAACCTCCAAAGTCTCTGTTATAGCTGCATGCTAAAACACCATAAGTCAGAACATTGAGACTTGAACAGTTCAGTTGAGTGTTATGAATTTATAGAATTTGACAGTTGAATGTCTGTGGATGAAAATGAAGGCTAAAAATAATCTTAATTTGCTCATATTCTTAAGAAAACGTATATACATTGAAGATAATTTACTCAAACTCACAAAAATGCCTCTTGGAATCTTCATTCCCTCTTAGATCTTAAATGTTTTAGTGATATTAATCGAAAGTAAATTCCATGCCAAAAACAAAATACTGATCTTATTTAATATGCTAGTAATATTTAGTCTGTTACGATAGATTGATTCTGCTGCTATCGATCTACCTCCCGCTTCCTCTCTCTCATCCAAGAAAAAAAGAAAGAAAAAAAGTTCAAGAATTAGCTATGAATCAAAAATGACGTGATAGTCGGTTATGTTTTTTCATTTCCCATGAGCTGCACAATCGGTCTTGCCGATGAGCAGACCTAGTGCGTTTTCCAGAGGTGGTATCCACTCTTTCAGGACCACCACAATGGGTGAGATACAGATGGGCATGTTAATTTGGACGTCCAGCTTCTGCCACGCTAGACGGCAGCACAGAGACTCTATTTGGATGCTAAAGTGCACTAGGAATTTAATTTTGCCAGAAATGCCAAGAGCCAATAAGACACTCCAGGGATCTTTTACATGCCGCATAATCATACGACATGNATCTTTATTAAATATTTTTTTTTTAAATACTTTTTTTCTTAAAATGGTTGAAAAAATTTTGAATTGTAAGGTATACAATTTTTTGTAGCATTTTAAAGAATGAAATTTTACTTGGCAAAATACAAAACTTGAACAAAATCGGTCGAATAGAACCTGTCGAGTAGTTGTAGTGCAAGAATAAAAATTTTTGTATTATTTTAAATTATGTAATTTTAAGTAATAAAATTCAAAGTTTGAACACAATCAATCGAATAGTTTCTGAGTTTCTGACTCTTCCTCGATGTCGTGAACAGAGCTTGAACTAGTACCATTCCATCAAAATGGCGTTCCGTACAAACTTGAACATTTTCAGCCACTGCAGAAACATGGAACATAATGTGTGCAACTTTAGTTCACTGCCGAAATAAAACCATCGCGGTGATGAATTATGTTGATGAAGATCGCCAGGTCTTCATCTACTATAAAAAGCGTAAAAATTGTTGCCAGCAAACTGATGCTTTGTTTACTTTATCGGTTTTTATCGCTGTCAAATGTTATTTTCATAGTGCGTGCATTTGCATTACCACAAGCCAAATAATTTTCTGTACTTGGACAGAAGATAGAAGATTGAAATTTCGATTAAGTATTTAAAACAGACGAATAGTATTGATATCACATCATATGTGAAAAATTTCTTTAAAAAATTAAGTGCAGTGATTTGTTGAATTGAAAAGAAATGAATGCTTAAAAATAATTTATTAAAGATTTATATTTTTATTCAGAAAAATAGAATGCATGGTGGTTAGGATTTTATTTGAATTTTCTCTAGAAATTTCTTTAAAAATGAAGCAGCGTGGGTTTTGAAAAATCTAACGAATTTTCTCAACTGGTTTATTTTTCAGAGCAAAAAGCATTCATTTGACGATGGAATTTGGCAAATTCCGATTAACGAAGCGTATTCAACAACCAAAATATGAAGTAAGAAATTAATTTCGTTGCTTTTTCAATAATTAGCTTTACCTATCATTATCAGCTACATCATGGCGATTGGACAAATTTTTCTACTTCTCATGAAAAAAGTTTATCGGACACACATCTGCATAAATAGCTTGATAAAAGTGCCAAGAATAGATGTTATAAACTTTTAAAACAAAACATACTGTTATTTAGTAATAGTTTTGTTTATAATAGATACTTTATATAGAAAGATTAGTTATGGAATTAAAAAAATTAACTTCTACCTATAATCTTAAGTTACTGCCGGAAAATTTACTTTTCAATTAATCAGAGAATATTACACGTATGCCGTGAAACTCTAACTACGTTAAGTGTAGGCACACTATTTTGTACCCAATAGACGTTTCAATATTTATCCCGTCTGCGCCTAATATTAAGTTAATATATAACGATAAATTACAAAACATTTTACGCATTTCGAAGAGATTTTTGGAATTTTATAATTTTTTAAAGTATTACTTCACAAAAATTATTCCGGAAGCTTAAAAATTTGTAAAAGTAAAACTTAACAAAGCAACATTCTATGTGCCAAAGGAAAAATTTACTACTAAATTATTCTGAACTATGTGAAGGAGGACTCTAAAGAAATGCTCAAAAGGAGAAAAAAATGGACAGACATAAAAACGCTTACATTCCATTAGAATTAAGGCCGGGATAGACTGGCCGGTAGGGCACTGGGCTCATATCTGAGAGTCCGTGGGTTCAAACCCCACCGGCCGAAGACTCCCCGTGCCCGTGTAATAAAGTGACTGATGCATGTCAAATCTGTCGCGTCGCAAAAGTCCTCCATGTTCCCATAGCAAATCAAAACCTCTGGGGGTACTGGATTGGAGATCGATCGTTCTCTAATTCAGGTCAAAATTACGATCTGTGAATGAATGAATGGATGTACGAATGGCTCCGTCCTATAAGCGGGTGCGACGTATGTTGTGGCAGAAGTCGAATTCTTGGCCATAGATGGCGCCACTGAAAAACAAGAAACACACACTCTGCCTTAAATTTGCTCGGTTTCACCAAGCAGGATTGCCCGTGTGGCAAGTGGCATTAGAACCAACCAACCAGAATTTTTGCACAGAATTTACATATAATCTAAATAGAGTTTATTTGTTATATTTTCACAGGCAGTTGAATTGTTCAGCTACATTGGAGGATTCATGGGCTTATGGCTGTCAATATCACTTGTTTCTCTCTTCGATCTCGTGCAAACTATGTTCTCCCTCTTCTTATATCCGATGTTGCGTATCAGCCGAAAAAACAAAGTTCACTCAATGTAAAAATTCACTTCAAACCAGAAAAAAAAAGACATTGTGCAGAACATGGACGGTATGGATTATGGCATTAGTAAGAAAAAACAACAGAAATAAAGGACGAAGACTTGGTGTGAGAATAGAAACTTGAACCAAAGAATTAATGAACTGCGAAAATATGTCCTTCTCAATGACACTTTTACATCACACTTGTATGATAGATCACCAGACTAATGAACAGACTTTTCTGCCGAGCAATAGAAAAGTCAACGTAAGAGAAAAAAAAATTTAAAATTGAGATTTTTGTATAGTTGGTATTTTTATATTATAAGTTATTTATCACAAAACATTTTTTTCACAATATTAATTTTTGTTTAAGCATCCTTTGAAATACTATTTTAGCGTTCACAGCATTAGCAAAAGAAAGAAAATAGATGTCAAGCCACTTTTCTCCAAATCAAGCGTGAGGCACTTACATTACTTTTTTTCAATTGCACGGCAGTTTTATACTACAAAACAGACCTGTTAAACCATAAAGGTTTGAGGACCAATACGGAATTGTATTTTAATTAAATAAATGTTTTCAAATATGTGTTTTTAAGGTGCGAATTTTTAAACTGAATGCATTATTATATAAGTTTTTTGAGTTATTTATAAATTAATTGTGGATCTGTGAAACATTTCTGATGATAAAAATATAATTATAGCAATAATGAATAAATCAAGTGACAGAACGAATTAACAGATTCAAAGATAATGCACTAGTGTCGAAACAAACTTTATAGCAGTATTTACAGAATACGTATAATTATTTCTCTTAATGAGTTAACTAATAATATCAAACAACCCCAGCGTGCCTCCAATTGGCCAAGCCCTTCGGTAAAACAGGTTATAGATATTTCTGTTTCTCAAAGATCATGTTATTTTAAAATAAGCTAATTGATCTCAAAGTTTTATTTTATACATAGAGTGAGACATGCTTGCCACTTTTTATTAAATAGATTGTAAAATATTGTAAAAACTTTTTAATGTTCTAATGATTTACTGTACCAAAATAAAGAGTGTTTTGTTATGGTCTTGAGTAGGATGGCTACGAGTCTGTCTGTACACGAGTTGGATAACAGGAGGAGTTATAAACTTATAGTGAAAGCAAGACATTTCATAGGGATTAAGAATTGCATAGCAATCATAGGCTGACAATGTCGTCATATCCAGCGTCTGGCGCCGGCTTATTATAAACTTCTTGTGTCTGTGGCTTTGAGCTGGTACTTTCATTTATTTAAATTATATTAAATGTACGATAATTTTATTCTTTTAATAAATATTTTCAGAAGCTGCATTTAAATAGGGACAGAAATAGCTGTTTTTATTGCATAATAATTTGGTATGTTATTCTTGCCAAGCTATTCAACACATCATTCAATTATAATAAAACTGTAACTTTCGAGTAAAAAAATTAATAGAAAGCATTAAGTTAAGATAGTTTAGGTAAATAAAAGCATAGTTCAAAGACTCACGAACAGCTGGCCAGTTACAAACAATTGTCACTAGTTGCTTCGGATTGTATTTAGTATGGCATGGATTACTATGCAATTCTCAATCCTTTTCATATGACTTACTTGTTCTCCAAATTTGTGATCACTTTATTGAATAACCCTGCATACTTTTAGAGAATTCGGCAGTAATAAGGTAAAATCAAAGTTTAAGCGAGTAAAATTCTTTGAAGGACTATTTTTATTTATATCGTTAAAATTTTACATTTTCCTTATAGTTCAGGTTTGGTTGCTTTACTGAATATTATATATCTAGTCACCTCTGGTGATAAGTTTGGTCAACTTTCGAAATTTTCTTGTACTGCACTTTATACTTTTGTAACTCCTCAAATCCTAACACTTTAATTAGTTTTAACCATCATATTAACCAAATTTTTTCACCGTCTTGCTGTTGTCTTGTCGGATGTGCTTTTTAACTATTTTTAAGAGATGTCCTCGATATTGTCAAAGTTCTCTATGTTTCGAATTTTAGTAATAGCTTAAATTCTACCTCGCAGTCATTAAATCACACAAACCAAAATGAGTATGAGTTCGGAACATTTAATTTTAGTAGGCAACATTTCCACCTTTGTTGTGAGATAAAATAGAAAACTCACCTCAATGCTCCATTGCGTGCTTTACTACTTCCTCACGCTCCTCTGGAGCCATAACTTGAGTTTCGAATGATATATATGCTGTTTCTCGAAAAAGGCAAGCTCTGTCACCTATAATTGGTATTTCTATATGCGGTACGATAGCATCTGTTTATGTTTAATACTTCTGCAGCCATTTTAGAATAGATAGAAAATGAAGCTAAATATTTACTTCGTAACTAAAATTTGTTTTTATTAAATACAAAATTATTCAAAAAAAAAATACTAACGTATATTTTTTTACTTTGCCGAAAAAAAAGCTATGTTGTACGTGATTGGTTGTACCTGTATGTCTCAGTTAAAAATCAATTACGCAAATTATGATTAACAATGCATTTTATTTATCATATGGTTATACATATGTAATTTCGTAAGTATTCGCAACTTTCAATACTTATTCCTTTTTCAAATTGCTTTGGAATTCAAGATACATTTATCTCATGCTTCACAAATACTGCCTGATAACATTTCTGCAAAATAAAAAATATTATTTTCAATTTATGAATTCAGGTACTGATTAAAAATATTTATGAGCTTTACCCAATTCCGATGCTCATTATGTTTGAATTCTTACAAGTAAACACTTTATGAAAGGCGTATCCAAAGTGTGTGCTATGGAATCAAAAATTGTCGTATTAAAGTAACCCTTTAAAAATAGTCCCTTAGTACTCAACTTTTAGTATTTAAATGAAATAAATTCAACGTCATTTGCCGGGAACAGCTGTGTCTCAGGGGTCAGAGCGTTTTCCTTCTAATGAGGTGACTCAGGTTCAAATCCTAGTGACAGCTGGTAGCCGTCAGGCTAATCATGAAAGGTTTTCGTAGTTTTCCTCCCCCTATAACGCAAATGCGAGTTAATTTAATTCGAAAGTCCTCCACGAAGACTAATTTATTCCATTGCCAGATCTAGAAGTTTTATTCGTGTCAACCAGCCATTTCTATGATTCGAACTCGGATTACTTCATTGGGGTGGAGGGCAGCGATCTCTCCTCCAAGCCACCACGGTTTGAATTTAGTTGTTTGTAAGAAAGGAGTATTACGAGAGGAGAAAACTATAAGGGTTCATTTCTTACTCAAAGCTGAAGCTACGATTCTCCACCCACGTCAAGTCGCTCACAGATCTCGAAAATCACAACTAAAGGATGTGAAAACTTCGTTGTTTATACTTTCGGTATGAAATGAGCTGAATGTTCGAAACTTTTCTGGTCATACGTGTAAAACTTTACGTCAAACTTGCGTATATATATATATATATATATATACATATATATATATACATATATATACACACACACACATATATATATATATATATATATATATGAGTGCTAGGAAATAATATCTTGCTCTTAGTTTGTTTTTCAAAAAAATGCATATCTATATTGTTCATCTGACACCTACTATCATTGAAATGGTTTATTTCTTGATTTGATTTCGAATTTAAGAATGTTCAATGCAAATTTTGAAGGCCTAAATTTGGATTCACTAAACTGGATGAGAATTTAATTTTTAGGTATTACTTCACAAAAGTATTCCCATACACTTTGAAATAATAATATTCTTTTTTATAATATAATATGAATAGGAAACTATATCACAATATATCATATAAAATAAAAAAAAAATTAATAATTAATTACACCATCATAAAAAAAACTGTTTTACGTTGAAGCATTACATGGGTATCTGAAGCCATTAAATCGTGAAAGTTCGCTTAATTGCTTAAAGTTCCTTAAAAATCTTAAAATGTTGTTAAATTAAATGATATTTCTGCTTAAGATGAACTATCGTATTATGTAATAAATTTTAGGAAGGATAATTCTCACCATGACGAATTATAAATTTTCACCGGTGAAAATCGATAATGTATTAGGAATGTAGCAAATTTGAATGATAGAATTCAATACAGTTCTAAATTTCTAAAAACTTGGTTTACAAGTTTTTGATATATTTGTTTCATGAAAGCCAGACAGAGTTTCAACATTGCTTACTATACTTGAAAAAAAAAATTAAAACCTTAAAAACGTTTAGTTTAAAAATATTGTTTGCTATCCTGAAAAAGCTAAGCGAGTTTTTTAATGATTCCTAAGAACTACATCTGATTGTCAAAAATATGATGATTTGTATTCGATATTCAAGTTTCATCAATTAAAAGCAATTTAGAATGGAACATGCCTATTATACTCATGAATTTTGTATATTAAAACTTAAAAAAATTTCAAATAAAAATAGTTGTGCTTACGTCTCCTTCTTCTCCAACCTCCATCTATATGAAAAATAGAAAAAAAATTGTAAAAAGCATAACTCGTAGTTGCCTTTGGAAAAAAAGCAGTTAAAAATTCTACTGAATGTCAAAACATGAATATAATTAAATTTATCATAAGTGCTCATATAAGAGTAACAACTGAGAGATATTATTTTTAATAACTGAGAGATTCTATTATACTTTTCGAATAGAACTATAAAGAAATAAAGAGATTTATATTTATGTCTTTGGATTTCTTAAAAAAAAAAATTAAAATTAGAGCAAAGAGGACTAAGAATACACTGTTAAAATTAAGACTACTAATTAGTAAATATTTGTAATTATAATATTTGCATAAGAAGTAAATATTTTTCAAATATAAAAAATCAATTGATGGAGAAAAGTAAAGTTATAACTGATAAGTATTTAAATAAACAAATAATAAACATACCTTATCCCACAAGTGTTTATATTCTTCAAAACAATCATCAAACTATGCAAAATAAACAATAATTGTTAAATTTAAATTTTTTGTTACATACAACTATTTTTTTTTTTGGATTGTCAATAGGTAATTATTTTTACTAATTATGTCTATCACTTATCGCATACATATTATTTATTACTCATATTTTTGTCTAAATGAGCCTTGAAACGAAACATTTAAACGCATCATGCTAAGAATTTTAATTTGGTAGAATATTTTAAATAAATAAAATTTTCAAAAAGTCGTGTATTTAAAATTTGCTTTCTCAGGGACTGTTCGAAGGATTTCGGTCAAATTTTGTTTTTAGTCATGCATTCTTTAAAATGATGTAAAAAATTGTATGCCTTACAATTCAAAAAAGTTTCGACTGTTACTAAATATAATAAATAGTAACAAATATTTACTAAAATTTTTTTTTCTCATGGAATCATCTTTGGACAAACCAATTTTATAATTGCGGGCAAAATTTTTCAATTCGGTCGCTGTCCTGACTAAACTATGGGGTTGCCCCTTGTATTTCGGGAATCAAAAATACAAAGCCACCATAAAAAGTTATGCTTATTCAGAGAAAACACGTTTTTGGGTCTGATTTCTTTATTTAAAATTTCGTCTGCTTTAATTAAGAAGTATATTTAAAGTCATCCTCTTGAAACATTTAGATTGAATCCTAGAACATAAAGATCCGATCATTAGATGAAAAGTTAGTCCTAGTGATCCATTTATTTTTTTGTGCGCTGCACAATGTGCTAAAAAATCCAAAGATTTTCGTTATCCAAAGATAATTTCATGTAAAGAGTTATTTTTGATAATTATTTATTATTTTGCAATTAGTTAAATTAATAATGGTCGAATTTTTTCGGATTGCATGGCACATAAACTTTTTACGCTAATTGAATCTAAGCAATTTTAAACAAGAAAATCTATCAACAAAATTCGAAAGGAATCATTCAAATAACTCTTGAGAAGAAAAATTTAAAAATACGACTTCCTTCACATGGTTAGAAATTTCTCGGAAAAAATGGTTAAATCACAATTTATTTAATTGTTATTTTACCATATTCAAACAAAATAATCTAATAACCATAAAAAAGATGGCTCCACAATGCCCATTACTTAACGAAAAGTCTAGCTCCTAAGCCCCAGTTAAATTTCTTTTTACGATTTTGAAACCATTCTAGTTACAAATGTTTAAAAAATCGTGCAGTTTTGCAGTCATGGTTTTATAGCTATACTAGTTGTAAACGGTTTCAAAACTATAAAATTAAAAAAAACGTGGTTTACCGTAAACTTTGTGGTAGGCTGCTGCCAGTTATTTTATCCTAATTTTCGAATGAAAATTCTAACAGCCCACATGCAAAATACACAAAACGTGAAATTAAATTTAAGGGGCACAAAATTTTCACCGATCCCCTGCTTAAACTACAGTGACTGCTCTTTCCATTTTGAAGATAAAGAATCGTAATCTGTATAAAAAAAGCATGTTTATTCCAAGGAAATAGGTTTCGGTGTCTAGTTTCGTAACTTAAAATATCGCCTTTACAAATTAGTTACTATATTTAAGGTCAGGCTCTCGAATCATTAAAATTTTGTCCTACAGCAGAAAAATCCAAACCGATTACTAAATCGGTGGTTGCTCAAAGTGTTCGACTTTTTTTGCACACTTACCTCAAATTAACCCTAATTGATGGTACGCTTATTAAATATAGGTTATATTGCTAGGATAATACACGGGTTACTTTGTCAGATTTCAGATTTTATTCTATTGACAGAGAATTGAAATTAACAGCAATAGTCCATTCATAAAGATATGAATAGTGCAGTACATTGTTAAATACTAAGAATTATGGTGCGACGTCTGGTAAAAAATGTAACACAAGAATTAAGTTGTGAAGTGAACATTACGAAGCTGTGTGGACACTAAGAATTTTGCTGCGATGATTAGTTAAAAGTGCAACATAACATTTTACACTAGAATTTTCTTATGGTTTCCAAAATTTTGAGTTCATTATATGGAATTGATAATAACAGCAATGGTCCGTCATTATTATACTGAATTATACGGTGCAGCTTATTGTCGAATACTAAGAATCATAGTGGATATCTGGTTAGAAATGTAACACTAAGAACCATGGTGCGATGTCTGGTCAAATCAAACGTATATTTTTTAAGGTCGTTTGGTCATAATTTAGAGCTCCTTGTATGGACAGAGAGTCGATATTAACAGCAATAGTCCACTATTTTTTAAATTATATGGTGCAGTATATTGCCAAATACTAGGAATTATGGTTAGGTGTCTGGTTAAAAGTGCAACCAGACACCACATTTTATTACGCTAACTGTGTTTCTTGTGATCATTTTTCTTAATTTAGAGTTCATTGTATGGACAGAGAATCGATATTAACGGTCATTATTATTGAAATATATTGAAACACTGTTTGCTTACCTGCTTCCACAAAGTCCACTCTTTGCAAGCTTGTTTAACCATAATGGGGCTGCTTCCTTCTGACTGTGGGTATATTTTTGTATTGCATTTCGCAGTTATCTCGTGACTCTGCAAACAAAGTTAGTTATCAAACGCATGAATTGAGTAATCCAGATACTACATTAAGTGAAATATTTAATTAAACATGCTTCAACTTCTGTAATAAAACACGTATTCAAATCTTGCAAGAAAACAAGTTATTTTCTCCTAAAGTAAAATACAGAAAAAAAATCCGTATGTCGTTTAATACGGTTTGTAAACGGATGAAACAATTACAAACACATTAATTATGATATATTCTAATTAGAATATAGTCTACTTATAGTTTAGTACGAATAATTCAGCTAACCACTTTACTTTAAGATATGAAACGTTTTTATGTCGAAAAATTTAATAGTTCTAAGCATAAAAATCTACTTTATATCTACGAAAAATATTACTTATAATGAAATTTTATGATGTTATATTCTAGTTTTTTTTCCGTCATTACTTTGAGCATTTTTAAATTAATTATGGAAATTCATTAAATAAATTTTATAGCAAATTTAATTTTGTTAAAACTGTTTTTTTTGCAAATTAAGTTCCTCTGATTAAAGTTTTGATAGCTTGATAGTTTCTTAATTGAAATCTAGTAAATAAGAATAATTTTGTTAACCTTTTCACTTTAGGATATGACATGTTTCGATAAAAAATTGTCTTTGAAAATATTTATATTTTTACTTGTAAATAAGTCTAATTACACTAGGTATTTTTTAGATCATAAAAACTTTGACCACCATCTTGCCTAGCTTAGCACCTGGTATGTTGGTTTTTAACCAAGCAATAGTTTCCGAAGAAAAGCTATTTTATATAAAATACTTTGATTTTAAAAGTTTATAACTATAAATCGCTCTGCTTGACTTTCTCTAAAAATATGAATATAACAGATACGGATAGTGATTTCAGATAATCATATGCGACTGCAAATCTAGGTTCTGATTTTTTTAAAGGCTCTACCAAAAATTTCCTCTATTTAATGCTTTAATTCTCAGAAAATATTCTTTAATTTTTTCTGATATTATGGAATATTTCATGAAAATTGAATATAAATTTTACTGAATTAAAAAGGCCACAAACAGTGATATATTGTCATGCTACAATGGCATATCGTTCTTTAAGCAACAGGAAATTCTGAAAGAACACTAGATTTAAAATTTAGCTTGAAATTTAAGTGGTCCGCTTATAAAGTGTGTTATAGAAAGTAATATATAAATATTATATATAATTGGCTTTTTACTCAGGTTTATTTCCACCAGCTTTGATGAGGCATGGAGCTATTGGTATCTCTAAAATTTATTTTTCTTTAATTAAAATATTGTCTTGTTCTACAAGGGGATTGTAATTTTTTCTTCTTAAAACTTCAAATGATTTCATAATGCAAACAGACTGATTTATATTTCTGAATTTTCTGAACTTCTGGGCGCATATTTAATACAGTCTCTAACAGAGAGGAAAAACTCACGTATTTTTAATTTATCTTTCAATTTATCTTCTATGAGGGAATCTTAAATTCAGTGGTGTGACTTATGGTGAGAAACGTACAGCAAACAATGCAATACAGCAAACAAGATGTAACTTCTTTTATTGCATATGGTATTGCATTATTGTACATGTAACTTCTTTTATCGCATCTGGCTTAATATAATCTAAGCCAAGTGAGTAAGCAACATTGTGCAAAGAGTCATCGATGAGCAATACAACAATGAATAAGGACTTCGTAATAAACCAAAGTGCAACCTTTGAGATCTTTTTAACTTTTGCAAACTTTTTTTAAGAATTGACAAATGTCAAATCATGACAAACCTCTGAGCTCGAGGCAAATCTCTTTACAGATCTCACAAATGTGGTAATCATGATTATAAGAATGAAATTAAATTTAGAAACAAAGCGAATTTTCTATTAAAGTAGCATTGAGTGTTTTAGAAAACATAGTTGTAGGTTTAGAATTTCTTTTTCGGAGTTGTAGCTCTTGAAATTAAAGTTGTAGATCATAAAGCTGAAGTTGACCATTTAAATCAAAAATTTTAGAAAAAAAACATTTTTTCGAACAAATTTATTTAAGCAAAGGTTATTTATTTTTTGGAAGGAGGGATTGTCAGTCAAGTAGAACGATTTAGTGTTAGTTGAAAGGATATAAAAATAAATACTTACTACTTTAGTTTCGTATTTTTGAAAGCAATCCTCCAGGTCATCAAACAATTCATCACTATTCTTATCTACAAACAAAATATATATTATATTTTCAACATTTGAACAGCACTACTTAAAACGAGCTGAGAATTTCGTTTAGATTTCAAATTTTGTATTTAATGATATGCAGTAAGATTTCAAAAGTACATACAAAAGTAGTTACGGCATTTGATTATGTTCACTGATGGAAATTTCGCAATATTTTGAACCACAATGCTGCCAATGTTGAACCACAATATTATACCAATTTCAGCAGAGTCTCTAGTTGAACCATTTTAAATTTAAGTGTCGAAAAACAAGAACATGCTTTAGTACAACCGACACTTACACTTCTTTGTGATTATTTTAGTTCGTGTTTCAATTAAATTTCGTTGCGATTCGTAAGATTTTTTACACTTTTTTTTAACATTCATTTTAATATTAGTTTGGATCCTTCATCTAAATATCTTCTAAGCTAAATATTTAAAAAAAAACTTTCTGAAGGTTTTACTGATAGATCATCCAGTAATCTTTAATGAAAAAAGTTTTCCTCTCTTATAAAAAAACTTTTTAATATAAATAAAAATTGTTTCTGAAAAGTATTTGGGGATAGTCAGAAGAAAGACGTTTTGCTTGTAGATGTGCTAAACTTATTAAAATAACTTAAAATACTATAGTAATAAGTTCTAGTTTTTTAAATGTAACATTACTTACAGTAAACTTTTCGTATTGTTTCCACACAGATCATTTACAGGTTTAAGAAATTTTCACACAAAAATATCTTATATTCTCCATGGTTATCGCTTTGTTTTTCACCAAAAAAGTCTCACCTGGACAACTGTGAAAGTATGGTTCATTTTTATGTTACCTCAAGATCTTCACATTTATAGGAAATATCAAAGAATTATTCGTTGATATACAGTTTAGATACCAAGATAAAAAACTTTTTTTCATATTAGAACAAAGCTTGGTAACAATTTCCTTAAAGTTTGTATTAGAACAAAGTTTCAATATAAATTTTACACCTTAGATGTGATTGTAATGTTTCTGCGAAATTAATTATCTTTTTACAGAGTAGCATTATGAATACGGTTAGTTAACAAAAGACAGTTAGTACTTTAATTAGTACTACTATCAGAATCTCCACACAAAACATGCTGTAGGTTTAATGTTGTATTTTTCACCAAAAACCGCTATCCTGGACAAATGTCAAAGCATGGCTTATATTTATTGTACCTCAAGGTCTTCACATATAGATATCAAAACAATTGTTGCTGATATACAGTTATACCAAGATAAAAAGATTTTGTTAATACCAGAGCAAAGTTTCGTTACAATTACCTTAAAATATTTTTTGGAACAAAGTTTCAATATAAATTTTTCACCTTGTATTTTTTTTGTGAAGCTAATTATCTTTTCCTAATGTAGCATTAAAAATAAGATTAGTTAATGAAGAACAGTTAGTACTATTATTATAAGTAGTCCTACTATAATCATTATAAGTATAAGTAGTCCTGCCATAATCATTATAAGTATAAGTAGTCCTACTATAATCATTATAAGTATAAGTAGTCCTACTATAATAATCATCCATCAGTAGTCCTACTTTAAGCTAATTATCTTTTCCTAATGTAGCATAAAGAATAAGATTAGTTAATGAAGAACAGTTAGTTCTATTATAAGTATAAGTTGTCCTACTATAATAATCGTCTATCAGTAGTCCTACTATAAGCTAATAATCTTTTCCCAATGTAGCATAAAGTATAAGATTAGTTAAAGAAGAACAGTTAGTACTATTATAAGTATAAGTAGTCCTGCTATAATAATCGTCCATCAGTAGTCCTACTATAAGCTAATAATCTTTTCCTAATGTAGCATAAAGTATAAGATTAGTTAATGTAGAACAGTTAGTACTATCATAAATATAAGTAGTCCTACTACAATAATCGTCCATCAATAGTCCTACTATAAGCTAATAATCTTTTCCTAATGTAGGATAAGATTAGTTAATGAAGAAAAGTTAGTATTATAAGTATAAGTAGTCCTACTTTAATCATATTATTGCGTTATACTTACTGCAAATAGTCTGTCTAAATGAGTCCTTCTCATCTTGATCAGCTATCACAACAGAAAATATACAGCATACAGCAAAAATAAGCCCTTTTATAGCCATTGCAATTAAACTAAAAATACAAAGAATATGAACAGAATAAAGTAACATTTTATATACATTACAGATGGCATACTGAGTATATATTACTATCCTCTGCTTCAACCAGTAATTCAGTATTCAGTAATGGCCGTAATCAACATAAATATATATTCATAAAGATGTGACATAAGTGAGCTTGGTATTTAACAGTTTTTACATAAATTTTTCCTAAGTTAATCTCGATCAATAATCGTCAGAGTTGAATTTGTATTCCACTTTCAAATATTTTCCTTAATTCTTCATAAACAATATCTAAAAATGCATGTAAGGAGAAGTTATTGCCGCACATTTACTTAAGCTCTTTTTTTACTTAAAAAAATGCGTTTTCGATGGTCGTATAAAGGATATTTAATGGCCAGCAACATTTGAATGCACTATATTGCCTGTTTTGGGCACAACGGAGATTTTATTTTTTTCTCTCTTTGGCCTTAAAAACTTTTTTAAAATCGAAATTTTTTTCTGGAAACTTAAAAAGATAGTTCTGTTTAGACCTGTTCTCAGAGTATAATAAGATTAACTAGAATTCCAAATATGAAATCGATGACATCACCTGCTCATGTGATGCGTTGATTTCAATTATTCTCTCTAGATGTACGGAAACAAAGATTAGTGAGCGTGAAATTTTTAAGTATCATGTAAACATAAATAATTCATCTTCTCTTCTGCATGAACGAAAAGAAAGATAGCCGAAGTTAAAAGAAGCATTTTCTCAAATGTATGTGTGAACGAACGTACTCTCTCAACAACCTCATTTTGAACGATTTCAAACTTGCTTGTAATTATTCTGAAACTTACATTCTAACATGATAACTTTATCTTAAAATGAAACTACGAAAAAGGATTTAAAATGTTTTCCCTCTAATGCTAGAGTCCGTAAAAGAACAGCGAAGCATTTTTTTAAAAAAAAACTAGACACTTTCCAACCTATTGTACACAGTGTCTCACCGTGGTAATATTCTTTAGTTAGAGGATAATTTTATAACTTTGTTTTATTATTTTTTGACAAATTCATGATTTTCTTTCAATCGTTTGAATTTAATTTGATTTATTTCTACTTTCTTGGTGTTTTTTTTAAACGGAATTAATTGAGTGTTAGTATCTACCATTTACCTACATTTGGATCTGCGATTTCTAGGAAAGGCCACTGAATTGCTATTGTAAATGCCTTAGTGGTGTACCTCAGTGAGAAGCTTACTAAGGGTTCGGATGGATGGGTAAAAACTATCTGGTAATTAAGGGTGGTTCTTACGCAATGCTGGCCAGACAGTTTCAATCACGCCGTTCTACACAAAATTGTGGAATATTAACCTCCATAATTCCCTAACTCACAACGGGCTGTTCTGGGGACATTTTTTTTATCTACATTTCATCTTAGTATTATAAAGTAAATCATGATTTGATTTAAATATTTTCAACTATTGCTATAATTCTTTTTTTTTTAATTTTTCACTATGTTAAATACAATACACATTTATCATTAATCAAATATACGATTAATCATTTTATTTAGTCGATAAATTATCTACATCTATGTTTCTTTTCTCAGTATACAGTAGAATTTATCACTACAGAAGAAAAAGAAACAATCACTAGTAAATATAAATACGACGCATTGTAGTATGTTCTATAGTATCAACTAAACAATATCAGCTGCATTTTACATTACTACAGCAATTCAACAATATCAGCTAAAAGTTTTCTACCAAAGAAGCACTACTGTGATTAGAGTAGTAAGAAACGTTGAAGATTGCGTTACGATATCGCCACAAAAGTATAAATCGTTCACAAATGTAACAAATATGTAGTTAAAATAATAGTAAAGCAACTCTATTTATGTAATAAATTTATAAAGGCTTTTAAATTTCAATTGAAAAAAATTCCAGAGTAAAAATCTAGAAGAGAAGATTTTTGGTAACTTTTCCCGTTTGGTTCGATTACAACCTCCTCGGAAGCAAAAATAGTTTTAATAAAATAATGTTTAGATATAGTTTTTCCAACGTTCCAGGAATAATTATGATTTTTCAAAAGCCAGTGCATACATCTTATTGAGCTTTTGAAAACTTCTTCACTGTATAAAATAAACTAAGCATTGACTTTTTTCTTCAAATACAACAATAATAACTATATGAAAAAAGTTTTACCAAGAACAGTATGCAAAGCACTCAGACAAAAATTCAAATTTCAAGTTTTCTATGATAGTTCAAAATTTCAATGAAACAAATGCATTAACTATTGGAGAATTATTCCCACTACGGGTACGTTTATTTTTGCTAGAGTTACAGAAAATCATTTCTCCATGGTTAAATTCTCATGATTTTTCGGTGAACATTAATATAATGCTCAAACGATTTGAATGCTTATAGTTTGACTACGCTCAACTTCAGAATTTTAGATGAATTTCAGAATTCATGACATCTTCGATATGCTTGCCATAAATGGTTATTATATAGCAAAGGCGAATAACATAATTTTGTTAAATTCACTGAAGAAACGAGATATCAATGATTTTTGAGAGACTGTCTTGATCTCTAATTCTGGCGTTGAAACAAGAATGAATCTAAATATAAAGAGCTGATAAAATGATTAAGTAATTTTTTTTAACAAAAGTGAAAGCTGCTTTGTCAGAAAGTGAGAAAAATAAAAGAATGAAGATAACTCTACCTCTAGGACTGCCACTTAAACCAGATTCTGGCGTTGAAGCAAGAATGAATCTAAATAAAAAGAGCTGATAAAATGATTAAGTAATTTTTTTTAACAAAAGTGAAAGCTGCTTTGTCAGAAAGTGAGAAAAGTGAAAGAATGAAGATAACTCTACCTCTAGGACTGCCACTTAAACCAGATTCTGGCGTTGAAACAAGAATGAATCTAAATATAAAGAGCTGATAAAATGATCAAGTAAAATTTTTTAACAAAAGTGAAAGCTGCTTTGTCAGAAAGTGAGAAAAGTGAAAGAATCAAGGTAACTCTACCTCTAGGACTGCCACTTAAACCAGAGGAAAAGATTTGACTCGATGGACACAAATGTCACGATAGATAGATAGATAGTCGACTCGTGTCACGATAGAGACAAAACTATACAATCGGCTTATATGAGGACAATTCCATTATATTAAAAACATTGCGATAGGACAGAAAAGTAAAAAGAGGAAAATAGTCGAATAACGCTGAGGATATTGGGGATTTTTTTATTTGCTTCCTCATCACAATGGCTACGTTTCAAAAGTTGTATTTTATTACATCCAATTAATTTTTTAAAATTATTTTAGATAACAAATTGAATGCCTATAAAATTTGTAAAGGGGATGTAGTCTGCCCCGTCTGAATTAATGAAGTTACGTGGGCTGTTTATTAATGATGTCTTATTTTTTATAAAAAATATTTTTGACCATCTTAGTCAGAATTTACCATCTCCCCTTGGCATACAACACACACGCATTGCACTATATCATAGATCATTCATTTTAAAACTTTAATTATGTGGTTTAATCTCATTTGTGAGAAAAAAATATTTAAAAAAAAATATTAGTATATTTCAACAGCTAATTTTAAGTCTTTATTTTATTCAGAATGTGCGATGTCAATCTTCTTGGTAATACCTTTTACACTAATTTAATCACAATAATATGAATCCCCTCCCATTCTCTAAGCATAAACAGAATTTCTGGAATCTCTTTCATATTTGTGAACAGTCCCTCTGTACAATAGAATTATCTCTAAAGAACAAAAAAAATGTATTCGCTCTATACAAAGTAAACTGGAGTTGAACAGCCGGTCAAATTATGAGCTAACGACTATTCATGTTCAGCTCCATAGCCTTGCCATTTTGAATCCAACCCAAAAGATAACGGAACATCTGGATCAAGTATTGGGACCATCTTGCCCTTATGGAGTACTTTTTGATGGAATCAGCCCGAATTACATGGAGCTTAAAGCAACGAATACCTCCCACGGTTAGCCAAATGGTAAGAGAATTAGAACCTATGATCTGTCTACCACTGAGGATATTTTACGTCAGCACTGTCGTGAACAGATTTCGTATCAACTAGCCACAGTTAGGATTTGAACTTGGGTTACCTCATTGGGAAGCGAAAGCTCGAATATCTGAGCTATTGCGGCTCATATTAATTCATTAAAAAATTCGTTCTGCTTTAACGATTTTAATTCTTTCCAAGCCAAAAAATATTTATACTTAAAGGGAAGAACACGGCCAAATAACGCTTAATTTTGGAGACTAATTTCACCAGTATTATGGAATAATTTTGCCCCTAGACGCTTTCTTAAAGTATTCATTCCACGTTCCTATTTAAAGTGACTCACCGTAGTAACTAAAATGACCACCACCTTGTTTGGCGAGAAGTTTTCCTGAAAACCGCACAATATCCACATAATCCAACAACAAATAAAGATTTAAGTATTTAGTTTACAGTTAACAATAATGCAAAAATTTAGTACAAACCTGCTTTTGTTCTTTTTAAGTACTATTTAAAAACCGCAAGTACTATTTAAAAAAAAAACTCTGGTGTTTCAAATATTTACTTCCTTTTATAAGATTATATATAATGTGTTGATAACAGCGTTGTTGTTTCCACTGAACCTTGAGTGTAATAATTCGTTATGATGAAATATTTCCTTTGATTATTTCATGTTATCTGTTTCCTCAATCAGTTTTTTTGTCGCTTTTACATGATGCGTTGAAACATAGAATCAAACAATGATACCACAAAGAAAAATAATAAGTGCTTGCTCAAGCTTGTCAAGGTCAAGGCTGTCAAGTTCAACAAAGAATCTACGTGGGATATTTTAACAGATTGATTCATTTTATAACAGTGAAAAGAACTGTTTTGAATTAAAAAAGAATGAACATGCTATAACTGGAGATATTTTAAAATTTTGCAAACAAGATTGCAACTACCCATGCTTCAAACATTTAGTGGGGAAGGGTTGGAGTTTTTATTAAGTTTTTATTTAGTTTGTACCATTATTATTATTTTTTTATAAAGACTATAATTTATATATGATTACGCTGTTTGTTGGAGTCATGTTCTTTCTATAACTAAAATATGATTCAGATAGAAAGATTATGAATCACGTCATTTTATATTCAAGTCGTTTTACGGCCTTATGAGTCATTATTAAAAAAAACATTTTTTAAAAATGATTTGAGTTGAAATACTTTCGTAATAATAATGATACTTAAAATATAAAGAATAAAAGGAACTTAGCGTAACTGCCTAAAACAAAACTCAACTTACTTTTTAGGGCAAAAATAAAAATGATACAAGCAAATGTAGGAAGATTTTCGCCATTAAGCGACGTCGCGCTTTTTTTTGATACTATTTGAATATTCTTTTTTATAACTGAAGAGTAGAGATTTCGTCATACAGGCATCAGAAGGGCAGATTTGTTGGCCACTCTTTCAGGGGAGCCGTATTAGGTGGACCAATGTTGCTCCCACAGTAAGGACAGATAGTACAGAGAAGGAAGGGACATCCATGCCTTGGCCGGGATTTGAACCCAGAACCTTTCTATGCAAGGCCAGTTTCCTGAACTCCTACACAGGCTGGCACTATTTAAGTAATAAAATGGCTTATTATGATATCCTTTGGTGAGATTGCGACTACAAAAGAACTGAACCAAAAAAAAAATGATTAAGACAAGGCTATGAGAGAGGACTGCTGTTTAGGTAAATTGTAGTTTTTTTACAGTTAGATGCAGTTGACTATAAGGGATTTTTAGTAAACCCAATAACTTTCATTTTACATACGTATTTTAGTAAGCTGGAATTTTCATGCATGAATACTTTCTATGAAAAACTATTTTTAGTGGTGGTTACATTGAAATTAAAAAGTCAACATATGTTATTTTTTCGTTACCTTTTTTAAAAATTTTCAAGGCTGCGGAACCCTGTAACTAACTGTTAAACTTGTAGTAAAAACTACCATGCAGGTAGCAGAAATCAAATACAGAGTTGAAATTTGATGAACTGAAAAGACAATTTTCGTTTATGAGCTTAGCAAAAGATTTTTCTTAATTTTTGTTTGAAAATTATTACAATTTTAAGTGCTTTTTTGAGGATTTTTCTCACTTCTTTTTTAAGTTAAACTACATTTTGTTTTTCAATTTGAATGCTATAAGACTTACTGAGTAACTAATTATTACTTAAAACTTAAAAATAAGAAAGCAAGTAAACAAATTTACAGTGCGTAAAATATAAAACATACCACTCTTAATAACTTTTGATCTAATAATTGGATCTTCACATTCTGGAACTCTATCTTAATGGTTTGAAGGAGTGACCTCAAATGTGTTAATCAATTAGTGCAGATATTTTTCGAAATCAGACACAACACCGTACTTCCTCTGAATAAGCATACCCTTTTTTCAACGGATCCGGATTCCTGACTCCCAAAATGTAGGGGGTAGTGGCAATCTGGAATTATCCTAATAGTTTATTTAGAAGAGCGGATCCTTCAATATTAATTTCGCATTTTGAGTACTTCATCATATCTCAAGAACTTTTTAAGTGATTTGAAGAAGTATTGCACATAATTATAAAATCTATCTGTCCAAAGACCATGCAAAATATAACTTTGAGTAAACATTTGTTATTTGTTTATTATTTAATTTAATAAGAGTCAGAAAAATTTAGAATTGTTATGCATACAGATTTTTACGTATAGTTTCTATGAGAATAGTTTCTATGAAATCGAAATTTAAAGAAAAAGTTAGATTTTTAAAATTGGATTTTTCATTGAATTGTGCAAGAACAACACAGAAGAAAGAGTTAATGCTATTAAAACATCAGATCCTGTGCCAAAAGTCTAGAATTGATTGCTTTTCGAACTTCTGATGGCAACCTTATTGCATGCTTTTTTATTCTATTTTGTTACTATGTATTTTGTACAGAAAATAAATGTGCTGTTGTTTAATAAAGACGGCAAGATCTCGGGCTAGTTAAATGAAGGCTCGGAAGATATTGAACTCGTGACTTTTTATCTACTTTTAAGCAAACATTTGGTTTAGTTTTTAAGCGTTAAAAATGAAAAACATTTTAAGGTTCTAAAAATTACTGAATTTTGCTACTTCTGTTTGGTGCTTTGTGAGGCTAACACTAATTGTTAAACTACTTTTATTTTTCTTAAGATCATGATTTTCTTATTTAATCTTTGTTTTAGCCATTTTGAAATTTCAGTCGGAACTATAACAGAAGTTGGACGCCATTCCCCGATGGGTCGACGTAAGTAAAGTGCAGGTAGCGTTAGTGTGGTAAATTTACGGCTTTCAAAGGACACAAGCGAGGTATAGGTAGCGTTAGTGTGGCAAACGTAAGGGATTCGAATGACACAATGAAAGATTCTATTAAGTCTGACAGTAAAAAAATAATATCCAATGTAACGTGGATGTATAAAATTAACTTTATATATTCTTAAACTATACGATTTACAAAAAGGGTTTCTGATTGGGAATCTTAAAGCGAGGGAAAAAAACTTGTATGTTTATTTTTGTTGACAATTCCTCTTCGACATTTTTCTTTTATATTCAATTCTAGTTTTTTCTCAACACTTCTTGTTTCACAGATTATTTATAGAAAAGATTGTAACGACTAATTGTTTTGTTTAGACATAAAAACCGAGTGCCGAAACCAGAAAATTTAGCCTATATTCAACATACATCTATGGCTCGGGTGGATTCCCGCTCTAAGTAATCCTACGAACCCAGTGCGCATATGAGCTCAAATTAAAATATTCTGGATTGGACCAACAAAAGTGAGCCCGATTTTATCTCTAGCGTGAAAGGCATGAACGACCATCAATTGGAAGTGCAATAATCGGTTTATGGCGTGGTGTTCCCTAACGGCTGGTGATTGCTTGCTGGAGTCTCTCATGCGATTTAATATTGGCTGTGTTCTGAAAGCAGAAATTCTTTGTACGTTGGGGAAAACAATTAAAAGAACAAATATTATTTTTTGTAATAAAAAACTACCAAAGCAAATGAAAACAAATTTAGCCAAAATATCATCCAATATATGACCAATAAATGGGAAATCAATGAAGGGCACAATCTGTAGCCTAAATAAGAAAACTGGTCACTTGTCC